ACGACGAATATAGATTACTGACTTGGGTACCAATGTCATTATAAAGTTAATTAAACGTAAAAATTATTATCAGAAAATAGAAAACAAATAAAAAGAATTAACAATTAATCTACCTGTATTGTGCAATGATTAAAATAATTTGAGTAATATTCATCAAACCAGTGCAAACCCATTATGAAATTAATGGCATAGAAATCTATGGCAAAGGATAATATTAATAATAAATACCTGATAACCAAAAGTTACAAAAAACAAGAAGAAGAAGAAAAATAGTAATAATATATGAATTGAGCTGCTGGAGTAAATGAATAAAAGCGGAATTACATGAGAAACACGCCACAACCATCATTTTTTCGTCATCTTCCTAGCCCTAGCTGTAGTAACACAGGGCTTGGGAGCCGAAGATGCCGCCACGGCCGTCGCCGGAGTCAAGGATGAGTTAGTAGGAACACTACCAGCTGCGTCAGGAATGGCGATCATCTCAGCCACGGTGTACACCCGGTGCTTCGTGCCATCGGACCCAAGCACCACAACATATCCGTCTCGTGTCCAACATTGCGAAACACCAAAACGCTTCCGAGCAGCAACGAATGCCTCATGATCAATATTTGATCAATATTTTGATGCGACCCGGGTTAAATTAACGAATAATTCACGACATATCTCTATCCGAAGGAGTATTTATGTCGTAGGATAATTGGATAAACCGTATTTTCTGCAAAAATCTAGGAATACCGCGAAAACACGAATAATTAGACAATGGCTATGAAATTTCTCAATCTTACTGAAAAAGCAACTTTGAATATTTTTAACTCTGATTGTCTTGATTTTTGGTTTATAGGCGTAGAGTTTATGAGTAATGATTTTTTTTGTAAAATCATAACTACACTTTCTACTCAGGAATATTGACCCAAAGTTACTTCCGTAACAGCTTTGGCGCTGCAGGAAGTATAGCCCCAGTCGCAGGCACCCATGCTCAACTCCGCAGCTTTGGCTTATTGGTCCAGCTTCAACCGCTACGGCTCGCACGGGTACCTGCAATTTGCTACGGCGGGCGGGGGCTGCTCTCCCTCCGCTTTAAAAATAACACTCTAGGAGTAGGGCAGACAAAACTACGTGGAGTCGGGGCGTGCTGATTAAGTTTTAGAAAAGATTTGGCCAATCGTCTAATTATCCGTGTTATCGCGATATCCCTAGACTTTTGCGGGAAATTCGGTTTATCTAATTATTCTACGACATTTACACAGCGTTAACACAAAACTACGACGCATGCGTATCAGTGTGTGTGCCATTATGTAAATGAGACGCTGCCTACCCACAATAGTATAACTTGAATGAAGAACAATGTCTAGCAGCTGTTGTTGCCGGTGAAATCACAGACACACAGATTGTATTTCCATCGTGTTTTTCAAGTAAAAACTGGTTTCTAAGAAGCTAGAACAAGAACGCATTCCATTTTATTATTATTCTACCTTTTGTTATAAAAATAAATACTCTGATTAGTTAATAGGTCGTAAGTTAAATAACATTCACAAAATATCAGAAAAACTTAATAAATTAACAAAAATATATGAATGAGAAGTTGATAAGGCACAGCAAAATTTTACCGGTTTTCTTGACAGTTGTAACCAGTATTATTTTCTACTATTGGAATATATTCTAGAATAATCAAATATAGCAACTGAGTCCAATGATTTTGTTGGTGTCCTTTATTGTATGTACCGATTGTTTCTAAAATTACACAAGCAATGCTTTATATTAAGCAACAAAAATTCCTTGAATGGCGTGTCGTAATTTTTTAGATATTTCAGATATTGATTGACCTCGACTGTTTAAAGATTTTTTTGAAACAGCGAAACTAATAAACAAATAACTGTAAGTTTAGTTACCATGAGCATGGTTACTTTCAATTTTATATCGGTTTTAGTATGTTTTAAAGTACTTAAGTATCATTATTTTTAATCGTAGGGTTGTAAATACTGACATTGATATAGCATTATAATATTTATCTATAAGCCTACCTTATATAAATAAAATAAAATAAAAAATAGCTCGGTAAACAATTGATGATACATCTAGTTTATCACAAAAACGTTTGCTTAACTTATTTGGAAAGGGACCGATTTAATATACATATTTGTCAATTTTAGCCTCTTATATATATATGTAAAACAAACAAGATAAATTATTAGAAAAAAAAATATCGCAGTACAGTATTGTGCTTGGCTTGTAGTTATGTTTGGCTAGTAATTTCTTTTAATTAGCAATATATTCTTATTACAATTTTTTTAAACCAAAACCACATATAAGAAATCGAACGTCTAGCAGTATATGATACTATACTACATATATTATATGCCTCCACGAAAATATACTCTTGGCTTTACGTCTGTCTTCAGCAGTTTTCAGATAAGATTCAATTCATTTCAGTGAAATCGATACATGTCCGTTTTTCGAACATATCGTTTATGATCCAGTTTACATAATATTTTAAGAATATCGACCAAACTGCAGTTGCGTGTCTGCTTTAAGTAGATTAAACAGTTTATCGTATCAACGTTGACTGACGCGGTGGTAATCGCAAACCCTTCATATTGAGTTAACGATAGGCAAGCCTTTCTAGTAGCAAATAATTTTAGCGCTTTGTAAAGTAAATAGAATTAAATTTAAATAGAATTGGCAATTATATTGTATTCAAGAATCAAAAACTATCAATAACTAGTTTAAAATTCTGACGGCTAAGTGGCGCAATGGTTCTATTCCGCACGGAACATGTACCTATCTTTATATTTGTATGGCCTACAAATAATTGTTCTGGGTTTGGATGTTTGTCCTTGCGAAATTTATGTATTTTCACTGCCCCCACCATACACGAGAAAATCCTTGCGTGGAGGTAACGTGTTATAAATAAATAAAAAAAAAATATTTAATATTCACTTGCAGTTTGTATTTTTTGATTTTTGATTGTTTGATTTTGTAAATTTTATTAATGTAATCTATGGCCCGGTTTACATTTTGAGAAGTGACAAGTGCGAGTCGCAAGTGCACCTGACAAATGACAAATGCTTAGTGCGTGTGAACAAGCAGTGACAAGTGATAAGTGTGAATAAAATATTCACTAAGCACTTGTCATTTGTCAGTTGCACTTGCCACTTGCACTTGTCACTTCTCAAAATGTAAACCGAGCCTATCCATAGCCGTGTGGTAGTAACGTTAGAGAATCCTTTACACCGTTTGGTCCTGTGATAGAGGCGACTATCGTAAATGCCAGAAAAAATATATGGCTTCCGGGAGGGAACTTACAATTCACCTGATATTAAGTTGTTACTGCAGTGAATTGACACCTGCTAAGTTGTAGAGCCATGTTGCAGCTATACTAGCAGTATAGTTGTAGCACGAATGGGTCGGCTTGGCCGGGGAAGGACCACGCCCTCACAGAATACCAGCGTAAAATAGCAGCTTAATGCTGCTGTGTTTTGTATGGTGGCAGACGCTCGCTAAGAACGGATTTTGTGATGATCCCATCAAAAAAAAATTCTTGATATTTCTCATCTATTTTCCACTATATTATACGTGCGCACAGAGAAGCGAGCGAGTATCAGCTAGTACGAAATAAACCATAACAACCAATTAAAGTCTACTGCTGAACTTAGGCCTATCCCATAGATTGCCTCATAGGGGGGATATTTGCCATAGTTGCCACGCGGGTTGGTAGCCACAGTTATTTATTTTTAATCATAATTAGGAACACGCTGCTGCCAATCTCCTAATTTGTTTCCCAGTGTCGCCATTTACAACTGCCACAGCATGATATGGGGTAGTGGATATTCTTACACCGCTACTACACTCTAAATAAACAATAGGCGATATTAACGCAATTATAAAATCGTTTTACGCAGAACACTGATGTGAACAAATAATGAAGAAAAAGACTGTACGTGCTTCTACGTGAGACTGCACTGGACAGAAAAGAACAGAGCATAGTAGTCTAGAGAGAATATTAGAATTCGGAATAACAAAGCTTTAAATAATTTTTTAAACAAAGAGAGATTTAGCATGTCAAATGTAGGAAACAATATAAACCAGAAATAAGAACCAGCAGGGCGAATCCGTTACCGTCACAGTCTAAGTCTACTGCTGAACGTAGGCCTGCCCCATAGATTTGCCTTTCGTATAAAGGATATTTATCGTTACGGTTAAAAGCGAATCAGTAGGCGCTTAAAGAAATTCGTAATGACTTGAATTCTTGATTCGTCTGAAATGAAAAATGAAAAAAGAGCCGCTCAAGAGCCGTGGTAGCTCAGATGGTTAACGCTCGCTGTAAATATAGCAGAACGCGAGTAACCCGGGTTCGATCCCCGCCGGCACTAATGAATTTGTTAATTGCAATTTTAAGTGCTGATTTACCACGTGCTCGCTAAAACATCGTGAGGAAACCTGCATGTCTGAGGAGCAAGAAGAAAAAAAAAACATTTCGAAGACATGTGAAGTTAACCAACACGCATTGAGGCAGCGCGGCGGACACTTCCTTGTCCTAAAACCCTCTCAGAAATGTGGGGAGGCCTGTGCCCAGCAGTGGGACGTATATAGCCTGTAACTTTTGTCTGAAATATTTCTTTGTTATTGATGGACGCTTTGTTTTTAAAAGTGTACATTTTAATATAACTATTATTAAATACGTAAAGATAAATTAAACGCATGGATTAAGTTAGCAGAAGATGGCATGATGGCTGAACAGCAAACGGAACGGAAAAACGAGAATTCATTATCTAATTTGTGTTATAATAACCATTAATATAAATAAACTTATGTAATGTTTAAAACATGATATATGTTCTAAGCTTAATTTATGAAAAAAAATGATTATGCTCATTATGTAGGTTAACGATTATCATTTCCATAAATTAAAACATATTACGTGTGAATTTATTCGGTGTTTTTTTTTACTCTTAATAAAAACCAATTATTGCACAAATAAAAAAAATTACTAGTGACTCTACCTGCAAGTACTTGTTCCGTTTCTGGTCCCTATAAAGCCGTTTCATATGTTCCGCCTGCTGTCTAGCTAGTTCCCGCTCGGGCACAAGCGGCAGCGGGTCATGACGTACCGGGCACCTGTAGTGGATGTTCACATCGCTCTCCACGTATCGGCGGCTGGGTGATTCTGTAAACACAAAGGTGTTTAGGAATAAAGCTGGAACAAAAACTTGAAAGGAATGTTTTGTTATTGAAAATACCGTTTTGTTATCAAACTTTATTTATTCTATTAATCGGTCGTTTCGCGTGCCAATACTTGTCTTACTGTGAAAACAATATTATAAGGTAGAAGTTCTGTTAATATTATATTTGATACAGTAGTGGTGCCTAAGACTTGGCCTCCTTTCCTAATTTATATGTATTTATTTATAAAATAAATAGTCATAAATGAATTGTAGGTTGTTTTTTTGAACATAAAGTAGATCGGGAGATCAGATCTGGAATAATACAGATTATTGCCTACACAAACTATGAATATTAAAAGTGTCACCAGGCACTTATGTGCCGAAAAACTTTACACGATCAATGATTGAATCCCTCGTCATCACCATAACTCATCACGTGGGCGGTTAAAGTAAATTCCCATAAGATTATGTTATCTTGCATAATGGATGAATTTATTTTAGAAACAGCTTGGAAGCAACCACCTCTTTCCCAGGGATTATTATCAACCATGTATTCATTTATAATTAAAATACCCATTTTTATAGAATTTTTGTTTAATTAAATACTTATTTAAACTTGCTAATGAGAGACCCTGTATATTTTCTGGGACTTTGTTGTAATAGCGTATACTTTGCCCCAAGAGTGAATTACTGACTCTGTGGAGTAGAGAGACTGGTATCACTAGCAGCTGGTGATTGTTCCTAGTGTTTACAGAGAGTATATCACTTTTTTTTACTAAAAACTACCTTTGTTTATGTGAAAATACATAAAGTTTTCGTAAATATACTAGGAGGCCAAATTTAATATATTTATTTGTTTAAATTTTTTCCAAGAGGCTCGCTCTGTTTTAGGTTGTAAATAAGTTTTATGACCATCTTCTGCAAAACGAAAATAGTTTCTAAATCAGCCGCAATTCCTCAAAGCAAAATCCCATATGACATTATGCTATGGCCTTCGATCAACAATACCAACTAGATGTCGGATCGGCGCAAGAAATCCATCTCTGTAAATAAGAGCGCACATGAGACGTGAGCTCTTACACGTGAGAGTGTAGCTCGCAAGGCAATAACGGGAATAAGAACTTTATTTGTTATAAATTAAGGTTGATTTCACATTAAATGTTATTTAATTTATGTCTTTCATAGTTTATATTCATGCGGACAGTATTTAGCTATGTTTTTGTACGTGACCCGTTATCTAGTTGGTATTGTTGATCAAAGGCTATGGCAGTAACTGAAATAAACTAATCTAGCTGTCTCGGCTCTAGTGAGATCTCTAATACCGGGTGTCCGGTGGCAGAATTAGGATTTCAAAATTAAATAATAAAAAAACTGCAAAATATTTTTTTTTATTTCAATGACTATAACAAAGAAGGGAAGTGCGGGTTTTATTTCTTAAAAATTATTTCGTCTAAATGTTGACCATCACGTCGGACACACTCTTGGAATCTGGCTTCAGTATTGCGCGCCACTCGCTGGAGAAGGGACGTCGGGATGCCATTAACCTCGCGAACGATATTTTCTTTTAATGCTGAGATGGTCGGTGGGGCGGTTTCATAAACTTTACTTTTGAGGTACCCCCACAGAAAAAAGTCCATGGGGGTAAGATCCGGCGACCTGGGTGGCCAGGGGATGTCAGCAAAACGGCTTATCAATTTGTTAGGGAACAAATCACGAAGAAGCGCCATGGTCTCTCTAGCAGTGTGAGGCGTGGCGCCATCTTGCTGAAACCATGTCTGTGAACTGTAGGCAGGATGTTCTCTTAATATTGGCAGGAAAAAATCGTTAAGCATTCGCCGATAAGAAACGCCGGTTACAGTAATGGCTTGTCCTTGACGATTTTCAAAAAAATAGGGTCCGATTATTCCTCTGCTTGACAATGCACACCAAACCGTCACTTTGGGACTGTGAAGTGGCTGTTGATGTTTCAATCGCGGGTTCTGTCCTTTAGGTGACCAATAACGGCAGTTCTGTTTATTTACACTTCCATTTAAATGAAAATGGGCTTCATCGCTCCAAAAGATTGTGTTCACTGTACGAAATCGCTGCAACATTGTTTCGCAGAAACTTTTGCGCCAATTGTAATCATTAGGCTTAAGCGCTTGCACAATTTGAATTTTAAAGGGGTGAAGTTTAAGGTCCTTTTTCAATATTTCGTGCACAATCGTTTTTGGGAGCCCTAGAGCAGCCGCTCTCTTACGCACGGACTGTCGCGGGTTATCGCGTAAACTGTTTGCGACAAGTTCGATGTTGTCATCAGTCCTCGACGTTCTGCTGGATCCCGGCCGCGGATTATTTGCTGCTGAACTTGTTTTTCTGAACCTCCGCACCCACAATCGAATCAAATTTTCGCTTGGCGCATCACGTAACCGTCGGATATTGTACCGCGAACAAAATCTTCGACGAGCAATAGCACAGGAATCGTTTGCTTTAAAATAAGCTTCGATTGCGAACGCACGTTGTTCACCCGTCCACTGCGACATCGTGACTAAGGAACCCGCACGAATGACGAATCGAACGTGACCCCCCCCGCCCGCCCCTCCGCTAACGGTTCGAAAACAGTTCGAAATTTAAATCCTAATTCTGCCACCGGACACCCGGTATTATTTACAGCGTAAGTTGCAGAGCTTAGTTTGCTTGCTAGTTTAGATTATGGGAGTGGGAGCCCTACTGAAGCGTATGTATATATTACGTATGCGTTATATATATATATATATATATATATATATATATATATATATGTATATATATATATATATATATATATATATATATATATATATATATATACCAAGAAAAACAGAGGATTCAACAGGGTTCGGTTCTTCCCCATTTAAAAACACATTGGTATTTAGATTTTTAACATTAGTTGTTGTAAATTTAATACATTTAGTTTTATTGCCGTTTAAATATAGATTATTAACGTTAAACCAGCACTAAAACGTCGGGTAAAAAAGTTAAATATACGCGATAAATTCCGTAAAAATTAGATTATTCCAATGCACTAGTTTTAATATAGCATTATTCGTTTCGTCACATTTAAATGATTAACGTTTAAGTTTAAAAATCAAGGAAGTATTATAAGTAAATAAATAATTTTAATTATTAGTTTAATTAATAATAAAAATAGTACTACTTAGTATAAGTTTAAAGTATTATGTACTTACGTATATTACTTCAATGGTACACAGAATGTAATTACAAATATTGAAAAAGAGAGTAATTCTGATAGTGGTATAAAAGTAACGTAGATCCAAAAGTGAAAGTGGTTCTACGAGACAGAGCTTCACGGTGGTAATCGATGCCGTAACATGATCATTGGCTTAATGTTTCGGGTGTTGATTATATGACGGGACGTAATATTGTATAAAGTGAGCGGAACCGGTTTCAAACGTAGGTATACTAGAATCTCCGTTACTATGTTTGCGACAAATTTACTCTATCGTGTACAGAGTATATCTTATTATGTACAAAACAAAGATAATAAAATAGTCTTAGCAAACGACTTATGTTTTTCGTGGTTGTAACTCCAGATGAGTAGTAAATACAAAATGTATAGGAATATAGGATAAGTATCTAATATTACCTCGTGTTTTCTTACAGTTCAATAGGAATTTACAAGTAGGTATATGTTACTATGTGATATTTTATATGCCGATTTCGTGGTGAGGAAATTTTTAAAACATACGAGTACTAAACAGCCCTGCTGCTTACATTAAGCCGTTAGTTAAGGTGATGTAGGCGCCAAAAGCAGATTTTTCACGTTTTATAGGTGCGCAGAAAAGCAATTTTTTGTCATTAAAAACTACGAGTCCACATTTTTTTAAAATTCATTATGAAAGTTAAAGATTTTTCTTAGTGAATTATGTTGGCCAAAACACGACTAACACATTTTGGCTTGATAGAAAAAATCGCAGTTTCCTCAAAATCTACAATTTTAGCTACGTTCACTAAGTGAAAAAGCTGCTTCAATCGAATGTAATGAAATCAATTTCAATTAAATTCAGGCTATGTGTTCACCAGTAAATACCTGAGCAAATTATGGGTGTATTTTTCAATAAAAGCGTATACATAATTTAAAATGAAATATAAAATAAATATTGTGCAATTAAATAGCGCGCGGGTAGACCAAACAGTCCATATAAAGCGTGAAAAATATGCTTTTGGCGCCTACCTTATTTCTTCTTAGTGTGTAAATTGTAACATATGAAATGGTATATTGCTTAAATTATATTCGTGTTTACTTTTTACTTGTAAACGTTTATTTTAAATTTACCACCATTTTCTTTCATGTTCTTAATAAAATGTAAATGAAAATAGATAAATCAGAATAAAGTAAAATGGAAAAAAAGACTAGCCTGGGAAAGATTATTATATAGTGAGAATCTTTTGGGGGATGTGAGAATGTTTTGAAAAAGTTTTTTTTTAATAGGAGAGGGGGCAAACGAGCACAGGGCTCCTCTGATGGTAAGTGATTACCGCCGCCCATGAACACTGCGAACAGGAACAGGCGTTGCCGGTCTTTTAAAAAGGAGTGGGCTCTTTTCTTGAAGGTCCCTAAGTCGTATCGGTATATATAATCTCTGGTGGTAGTCGATTCCACAAGGAAGTTGTGCGAGGAAGAAAACTTCTTTTAAATCGCACGGTGGTGGACCGCCAGTCATCCAGATGGTATGGATGGTATCGCAAGTTTTGTCGCGATGTGCGATGGTGAAATTGTGTGGCTGGAATTAGTCCGAACAATTACTCAGAGCACTCCCCGTGGTAGATACGACAAAATACGCAAAGAGATACAACATCTCTTCGCAGTGCCAGTGAGTCAAGCCTTCCGGAAAAAGCTCGGTCGCCGACGATTTGAACATATTTGCGCTGGATGCAATCAAATGGAAGGAGCTGGCACTGAGGAGACTCAGTCCAGAAATGGGTCCAGTATTCCATGGGCAGCCAAACCTGCACCCTTTAA